TCATCATCAAAAAGGGGGAGATTGTAGAATCAAGATTCAAAAGCTTCTATTGTTTTGATGAAGACAACTCATATCAGCTTAGCATGCAAGATTCTTACACTATATACCTGTGGAGGTATATGTACTGTGAAGCTGCTACACTATCCCGTGGGGGTATATGCACTGAAGATAAAATCTGAAGCATCTCTATTCTGAACTCTTCACAAAAAGAAAGAGGTGCAAGCATATCAACAAGTATACATTATCAAGATCAAGGCAAAGTCACATCTATCACTATGCATCAAGTTTCATCTATCAAGTTTCAAGAGGTGTTGAAGATTCAAGACACGGTACAACATTGTTTACTTAGAATTATGTACACAAGTGTTCTTTAATCACACCTCACTTTACCACTATCACAAACCATTTTAAAACCTTTTAAAATACTCTTGATATTTTTAAATTAATTATTTTTGGAAAAACCTTCAGTGTTAACCGATTAACCATATAGGTTAACCGATTAACACAAGTTAAAATTATGTTTTTGGGTCATTCTAACATTGTTAACAGATTAACCATATAGGTTAACCGATTAACACATGTAAAATTCAAATATTTTGTACGTTGGAAAGGTGTTAACCGATTAACCTATATGGTTAACCGATTAACACTGTAATAACGGTAAAAAATAGCAGTTTTTCATGGAAGAGTACTTTGTTCTTAAAAATTCTTACTGGCTATTATTGGTGTCCCCAAAACACACCTTTTTGAAAAGGTTTTTCAATAATATAAATTGATTTCAGTTTTCAAAATCAAATTAACCTTCGAGAAACAAATTTCAAAAATTACTCTTTCTTCAACCTCTTGAATTTTAACAAAGTGTTCAAAACCAGAATTTTGAAAGAAGTCATTGAAATACACTTTCACATATTCACAACTTACTTTCACATAAAGAACACTTGTACATTTTCTGAGTAATCTTTGTTTCGAGAAGAAGATCGATATTTCATATTGATATACCTTAAATTGTACTTATATTCAAATTCAGATTGACTACAACTTATTCTTAGAATTATAAAAGATAAGTTTGTAGGGTTTTCCTTGTAATCCGGCTTGTGGATACAAGAGGTCCTTGTGTAAGATATTCATTCTCGGTAGGACTTAAATATTTTGTAAATCCAAGAAGGATGTTCTTGGTTGTTAGGATTGTCTTGTGTAGAAATCTAACATTGATAGTAAAATTCTCTTTCATGTTGAAAGGGGAGTGGAGTACTCTCGGATTGTGAGGGGAACCACTATAAATCACTGTGTCCTTTTTCCTTCTGCATTTTACTGTTTTTCATCACCTAGAAGACTTAAAGAAGAAAAATCCAAGAATCATAAAAACCGAAAAAAGTGTCTAAGAGCCTAATTCACCCCCCCCCCCCTCTCTTAGGCATACATATAACTTACATGATTCTGCAGTCTTTGGTGAAGCCTCAACTCGTGTGAAAGGGGCAGTGGACCACCCTCTACTAGGTAAGAATTTTTGAACTTGACTCCTTTTCTGCTCATGTTTGCATTGATTCAAGTTGTGATATTCATGTTCATGCTTGGTTTGTGAAGTTCTTGAAGTTATTGCCATGTTTCTGTTGGATATTTGTGTGAGTTACAAGTTGAGTTTTCATTTGGACCCGTAACTTTGATCCAACTTTTCAATGCCTTAGAGTGTTTTATACTAAAAATAATGATCATGGGGTTGTTCCTTATGATTTGGAGACCACTTTTGGTCTTTACACTTTTGAAAATCGTTGAGGCAGTGAGGAGTTATGGATTGAGGAAGTTGTGGGTTCCATTTGAGTTTTTCGTGTTGCATGGCTGGTTTTGATGTTGGCTGTGTGAAGAAGACGATGACGTGGCCGGGTTTCTACTTGCGTGGCTAGGGCATTTGAGTTGTCAGATGACTCATTTAATGAAACGCTTCGTTTCATCCTTGGCATTTGTTTTGTTTGTTTGGCTGAATACTTGAAGCAATGGGCCTAACACTTTTAATATTCACACTCCACCTTTTTTGGCCCACACGCGTTTTAAAAAGGAATCAGTTATAACATATTTTGCTAACTCAACCCCCACGTGCACTATTGTTTTTATTTTCTTTTTATTTTCTTGTTTAGTTTTTATTATTTAAAACTAGTTCTAAATTTCATAAAAATCCCAAATAAATATATTCTGTTATTTTATTGTTTTATTTAATTTTTCATACTTTTTATTTTAATTTTCATTTTATTTTATTATTTTATTTTGAATTTTTAAATCAATGTGTTTAATGGTGTGCACCTAGTTCAATCTTGCTCATTTGAACCTCAAATAAAACCCCATATGATCAAATTTTTTATCCCACTTAGGTGATGGATTGAAGAAGTTTTGAGGGCTGGTTTGAGTTTTTGTTGAGCATTTTTCAGTTGACTTTGAGTTGACTTTAGTTGCCCCTCGATTTATACTCGATAAGGTGGAGCACCATCATTCCTTGAATTATTTGGTGATACCTTGAGTGAAATTATTTCATGAGGTTTTGACTTTTGTTTGTCACTTGACTTGGCTACTTTGTGTAATTTTCTTGGCTTTTATTGAGGCTTTTTCCTATTTTTAGTGAATCTTGCAAGTCAATTTACTTTTAGGGTTGTTTATGCATGCTAGTTTTGACATAATCTTTGGGATATGATCATGAGTGATCCATTGAGCACCTCTTAAGCCTTGTTAACTCCTTTTGACATGCTTGAGGTGCTGCCTTGTTTGTTAGAGGTTAATAGCATGTTTAACTTACATCACAAGTCACTTGTGAATCATGCTTCTCTACTTGTTTAAGTGTTGAGATTGTGTTAGGACTTTGTTTCCTTCACTTTCTATGATTGTGATTGTGCTTTGCTTCTTGTTTGTTGCTTGAATTTGGATCATTTCCTTTGAGTTTTACTTCTTCCCCATGTGGTTTTCCATTTGTCCATGTTGATTTGGTGTTATCGTTTGTGCTTTGAGCTTGCCATGGACATTTGCATTGTTATTTGCATTGTTTTGTTTGCATCATTTTGTGTGGATCTTAAGGATTGTTGGTTGAGATGTGCTTGTGGTGGTGGCTGCCCCACACTTTTTTCCTCTCTCTTTTCTTTGTGTATGCATCTTTCCTTTGCATCTCATATCCTTTGTTTGCATTGCATGTTGACTTGTGTAAGTCAACTTCTTTTCCCCTTTTTTCACTTCATCTGTGAGTGAATTATTTAGTGTTTACTTGGCCTTTGGCCATGATCCCTCTAGGATTCTTAGTCCCTCTGTTTAAGATAGGAGTAGGAGAGACATTAGGTGTTCAATCCTGTGCATGACAACATTAGGATAGTTTCTTCCCTTCAACCCAACTTTAGGAGCATTGTGTATGACAACATTAGAGTCCAGTTTCCCCTTAGTTTGTGTCTTTCTCTTTTCATCTCCTAAACAATTCAAAACATCTAATAAAGGATAACATGTGTTATACGCTAGAATGTTTAGCGTATGCCCTTTGGGCGATATGCAACGCATTCGCTCTCAAGTCATAGTCTTTAGTGCAACATGAGTTACAAACTTAACTCAATTCACTTCTTTGTCTAAAAAACACAAAACAAAAACATCAAACCTTTTTATCCTTCGGGATTAATGGAAAATCATTTTCATAAAGAGGGTGTTGTTAACTCTTGGTTCTACTGCAAACAGGTAACGTCTAAGTCTCCAATGGTCGAGCTGCAATACACCTAACTGCTACAACGAAGGTTTAACCCTACTCGGTTTAAAACAGGTAACGCCTAAGTCTCCAATGGATTGAAGAAGTTGTAAGTGGTCCCACTACCAAGCTACTGTCAGAATTTTGAGGTATATCAAGGGAACTCTGAAGTATGAAGTGATATTCCCTTCTAGAAGAAAGATTGAATCAGAACTTCTGAGTTATGTAGGTTCTGATTGGTGTGGAGACAAAGTTGACAGAGAAAGTACTTCTAGGTACTTGTTTAAGTTTTTGGGAGGTCCTATTTCTTGGTGTTCTAAGAAATAACCTGTTGTTGCTCTGTCAACTTGTGAAGCTGAATATATTGCAGACGCTATAACTGCATGTCAAGCTGTATGGATTATGAACTTATTGCAGGATTTGAAGATCAAAGTTAATAAGCCTCTGAAGCTGATGATTTATAACAAGTCTGCAATCAATCTCGTCAGAAACCCAATGTTGCATGGGAGAAGTAAGCATATTGAGACTAAATATCACTTTCTAAGAAATCAGGTTCAGAATGGAGCGCCAGAAGTTGTGCACTGTAGCACCCAGAAGCAGTTGGCAGATGTTTTGATGAAGACTATCAAGACAGGTCAATTTCTTCGCTTAAGGGATGAAATTGGTGTTGTTAGTTTTGGGTAAATATAAATTAAGGGATGGTGTTAGAAATAATTTATATTTTATAAAACTTTAGTGACTAAACTTTATTAGAGGGTAATTTAGTATTTTAGTATGTTGCCTATGTAATCCTAATTTTCTGTGCATAAATAAACTAGTGGTAGATGTCCTTTAATGTAATTTTTTTTATAACTTTGTAACGTTATTTATAAAATATAAATATATTCTCTTATTCTATTCATCTCTTTTAACCTTGTCTACCAAAATCCACAAACTCTATACAAGCCGAACCTTTGTTTCTTTCCATGCAAAGAAAAACATCCCTTTTCATAATCACAATTTGCTAGTATTGAAAAAAACTCTCACACTTAAGTTAACACTCTTAAGTTTGAATGGTTTTTAAAAAGTAAATTTGTCTAACTTCTTGATCACTCCGTCTTTCCATGTCCTAGTCTAACTTTCCAAGTCAATTGTCTAATAAATTGTCCTCTTCGCCCAGCAAAAACATTATCCCATTACTCCAATTAATGCACCAAGACTTTAATCTTCCAACTCACATATACACTCTTTCATTCAGCTCTTGTACACATTCTTCCTATTCACAAACATATCCATAAATTATTCATCATCCCTTTCAATGCAAAGATCCGGCTATGGCCCCGATGGAATATACAGGTCCCCAAGACCTTCCCTGGAGCTCCCTCAAACCCCAAATCTCTCCCTCGTCTCATTCCTCTTCACAAACGTCTCCTCTTTCCCCAACAGAACCGCCCTTATCGATGCCGACTCTTCCCAAACCCTATCCTTCTCTCAACTCAAAACACAAGTTGCTAAACTCGCACACGCTTTCCTCCACCTCGGCATAAACAAAAACGACGTCGTCTTCCTTCTCTCCCCCCAACAACATCCAATTCCCTATATGCTTCCTCGCCGCCACCTCCATCGGAGCAATCGTCACCACCGCGAATCCTCTTTACACCGCCGCGGAACTTTCCAAACAATTCAATGACTCCAATCCTAAATTAATTATCACCGTTCCAGAATTATGGAACAAAGTGAGTGGTTTAACTTTCAAATTCAATTCAAATCAAATAGTAATAATCGGTTCGGATAACACAACCGGTTCTAATTCGAAAATTAAGAGTTTCGACGCGTTGATTGAATTGGCAGGGGAAGTAACAGAATTACCAGAAAATTCCGTGAAGCAAACCGACACGGCGGCGCTTTTATACTCATCAGGAACAACAGGAGTTGTTGGAAATAATGAAGATTTATTTCCATTAAAGTTGTTCCAAAATGACAAAGTGGGTGATATTGTTAATTGACAATAAATGCTTAGTCCCACATTGGAAGTGGAGTAAAATTAAATAGCATTTATAAGGCCCTTGGAACAATGTACTTTCCAAAGGAGCCAAAGAGGATAAAGTGCCACATAGTCATATGTGGTGGTGCCAAGACTTATGTCACTTGTCTCATACAAAACACCCTTCGCCGGTGTCGCCACCGGCGACACCGGCTCCGGCTCCGGAACCGGATCCGAGGGCGTAGGCGTAGAGGCGCTAGTGGCGGCTTGTAGACGGCACTTGAGCACTTAGGCACGACGCATCGGAGCAATCGGGCTATTCGCGGCGCCGGTGGCCCTCCGGCCGCCTCCGGCGGGCGGACCGGCCTTCGGCCGGTATACTGCGAATTTGTTTTAATTGTCGCTCCAAATTTTATTTGTTGCCTAGAGTTTGATTTTTGAATTTGAGTTCGAAATATATGACACTTCATGAAGTGGTTCATGACATTTTATTTGAACCATTGCAAATACTCATTAGAGAGTGTTGTTTATGAAGAGTTGCAAACTTCCGAAACGACACATGAATGGCTATAAATATATGCTTGATACTTCGAAATATAATACTCCAAAATCTGATATCCTCTTCTATATAATTCCAAACATTTTCCTTGCATTCGAAACTTCATCAGTCTTGTGCAGTTTCGAGAAAAAGGCTGACTTATCCTGGGTATTCAGGTCGTTCCAACTCTAAGACAATTTGAGAGTGTGCTTGAAATACTTTTAAGGAAAGTGATTTCGTTCACGATTCAGTCTGGATCCATTCGACATTGAAGCATTATCTAACAATCTTAAAAGTATTTGTATCATGGATTCCGACGCTGCTGTTTCAAGCATCAAGGTTATGAATCAGGATCTTGTCAAATTGGATCGCTTCGATGGAAACAACTTTACCAGATGGCAAGACAAGATGACATTCCTGCTTACTGCACTCAAGGTTCACTACGTCTTGAATCCTGATCTGACACCAATTCCAGAACCAACTGAAGATGATTCTGACGAACTCAAGAAGAAGCGCATGCTGTGAAGGGAGGACGAATTACTATGTCGTGGACATATTCTGAACACGCTGTTTGACCGCCTATACGACCTATACACGGACAATCCGTCCGCTAGAGACATATGGAATTCACTGGAGTTTAAATTCAAAGCTGAAGAAGAAGGTACAAAGAAGTTCTTAATTTCTAAATACTTTGATTTTAAATTTATAGATTCCAAGCCAATACTTCCCCAAGTGCACGAATTGTAAGTCCTGGTGAACAAAATCAAAGCGGTGAAAATAGACATTCCTGAAACCTTTCAAGTTGGTGCAATCATTGCTAAGCTACCAAGTTCGTGGAAAGGCTATAAAAAGAAACTGTTGCACAGTTCTGATGACTTTTCCTTGGAGAAAATCCAGAAACATCTTCGAATCAAGGAGGAATCGAAGGAGAGGGAAAAATCAGAATCTGCGGGTCTTTCCAAAGCCAATGTTGTGACCAAAAAGGAAAAGAAAAAACATGATGTCAAGAAAAGTCACATCGCACCAAAAAGGGAACATACCAAGTTCAAGAACTTTGGTGGTCCGAAGGGTCCGAAAAATGGATGTTTTGTATGTGGAAAACCTGGACATTATGCTCGAGATTGCAGGCAAAATAAATCAAAAAAGGAGATCAATGCAGTAAATGCTAATGATGATATAATTGCTACTGTGAGCAAAATTATGGCAATCAAAGGCAAAGTCCAAGGCTGGTGGTATGATACATGTGCCACGGTTCATGTCTCATATGACAGGTTTGCATTCAAAACATATTCTGAGACAAATGATAGACAAGAAGTACAAATGGGAAATGAAGTACGATCCAAAGTTGTTGGAACCGGAACGGTCGAACTCAAATTCACTTCTGGAAAGAAAGTTACTCTTGTTAATGTGCTTCATGTCCCAGACATGAATAGGAATCTTGTTAGTGGGGATTTATTGGGAAAATCGGGTATTAAATCTGTGTATGAATCGGGCAAACTTATTTTGACCCGTAATGGCGTGTTTGTTGGAAAAGGATATTCCGTTGAAGGAATGATCAAACTATATATTACTGATAACATGATTAATGAAATTTCTAATTCTGCTTACATGCTTGATTCAGTTACTTTATGGCACAATAGACTAGCACATATTGGTATTAGTTCAATGAAGAGACTAATCAAATTTGGCTTGATATCATGTAATATCAATGATTTGAATAAATGTGAATTATGTGTTAAATCAAAAATGATTAAGAAACCTTTCAAAAGTGTTGAAAGAAATACAAATCTGCTTGATCTTGTACATTCAGATTTGTGCGAATTTAATGGCATGTTGACCCGTGGGGGAAATAGATATTTCATTACATTTATTGATGATTGTTCTAGATACACTTATGTATATCTCTTAAAGCATAAAGATGAGGCTTTTAATGCCTTTAAGAGTTATAAAGCAGAAGTGGAAAATCAATTAAGTAGAAGTATAAAAGTCCTTAGGAGTGATAGGGGCGGTGAATACTTTTCTACTGAATTTGATGCATTTTGTGAAGAACACGGTATAATACATGAATGTTCGGCACCTAGAACACCACAACAAAATGGCATAGCCGAAAGAAAGAATCGAACATATCAAGAAATGATGAATGCCATGTTATTGCATTCCGAACTACCTTTCAATTTGTGGGGCGAAGCCTTATTATCCGCTTGTCACATAATAAATAGAATTCCCTTAAAGAAAACTGGAATTTCTCCATATGAGGTATGGAAGAGCATGACACCAAATATTGGCTATTTTAAGGTGTGGGGGTGTGTGGCATATTACAAAAACATGGATCCTAAGAGAACCAAGTTGGGTCCTCGAGGGATAAGATGTGCCTTTGTAGGATATGCACAAAATAGCAAAGCATATAGACTTTTAAATTTAGAGTCTAATATTATTGTTGAATCCCGGGATGTAGAATTCTTTGAAAAACTTATCACTAAGGATAAAGAATCAGAGTCGGCCATAAATAAAGAATCTTGTGAAAAAGACTCTTCTCGGATTGTAGAAATACAACCTGAAGGCACATCTCGAATCATTGAACCACAACCAGAACCTAGGATAAGCAAAAGAGTCCGGAAAATAAAGAACCTAGGACCAGAAAAAATTGATTCTCAATCCATTTCATTTTATCTGGTTGAAGGAAATAGTACAAATTTTATTAAAAGCATTCTGGTAATTCTTCAAGTAGGGGAAGATCCTAAAACTTATAAGGAAGCAATAGCTTCAAGAGACTCCTCCTTTTGGAAAGATGCTATCCGAGATGAAATGGATTCAATTATGTCCAACCACACTTGGGAACTTGTTGACTTACCAAAGGGATCAAGACCCATTGGATGCAAGTGGGTGTTTAAAAAGAAATATCATAGTGATGGTACATTAAACACTTATAAAGCAAGATTAGTGGCAAAAGGATTTAGACAAAAAGAAGGTATAGATTATTTTGACACTTATGCACCTGTAGCAAGAACAACCACTATAAGGCTGTTATTTGCTTTAGCATCTTTGAATGATCTGATTGTTCATCAAATGGATGTTAAAACAGAATTCCTAAACGGAGACCTCGATGAGGAAATCTACATGGAACAACCAGAAGGATACGTCCTTCCTGGAAATGAACAAAGGGTGTGCAAACTTGTCAAATCTCTATATGGCTTAAAACAAGCACCAAAACAATGACATCAAAAGTTTGATTCTACGATAATGTCAAATGGATTTATTCCTAATTCTTGTGACAAGTGTTTATATACAAAAGTGTATAATAACACTGTAATATTTTTGTGTCTTTATGTTGATGACATGCTAATAATTAGCAATAAACTTAATGGAATTTTAGAAACAAAAAGGTTTCTAACTTCCACTTTCAAGATGAAAGATCTTGGACTTGTTGACACAATTTTAGGAATAAAAGTTAAGCAAAATAGTGGGGGTTATGAACTTAATCAAACACATTATATTGAGAAAATGCTTGATACCTTCAAACACCTGAAATTCAAGGAAGTAACTACTCCATTTGATCATGTAATCAAACTTGAAAAGAATGATGGAAGAGCAATGGCTCAATTAGAATATGCAAGTGCAATTGGATGTCTTATGTACTTAATGCAATGTACTAGACCCGATATATCGTTTGCAGTTAGTAAAATGAGTAGATTTACTAGTAATCCAAGTAATGAACATTGGAAGGCAATCACGAGGATATTTGGTTATTTGTTGAAAACCAAAGATCTTGGCCTTCATTATGGTAGGTTTCCTGCTATATTAGAAGGATATACCGATGCAAGTTGGATCTCTAATGTGGGAGATCATAAATCTACAACTGGGTGGATATTTACACTAGCTGGAGGAGCAATTTCTTGGAAGAGCAAGAAATAAACATGCATTACTCTTTCGACCATGGAATCAGAGTTCGTGGCTCTCGCTTCCGCTAGTCAAGAGGCAAAGTTGTTGAGGGATCTTCTTTTGGAAGTTCCATTGGCTAAAGACAATGTTTCAAAAGTAATGATACACTGCGATAGTCAGGCCACTTTGGCAAGAGCATTTAGCGAAGTGTTTAATGGAAAGTCTAGGCATATAGGACTTAGACATTCGTTCGTGAGAAAACTGATTAAGGATGGAATCATTTCACTTACATATATACGAACAAGCTATAATTTGGCTGATCCGTTTACTAAGCTACTGGCCAGAGACTTAGTAAAAACAACCTCGAGAGGTATGGGGTTGAAACTCCTTGAGTAAGAGTTCTGAAAACAGCGGCAACCCAATCTTAAGTTAACAGAACATTAACTTTAAGATTTTCAATGGGTAATAACAAGTCGTTGATTTGGATAATTGTCTAACATTTCGTAATTATGTTGACATTGGAAATGAGGGTTGAGTTTTATTTTAAACTCTTAATGAAGTTCAATACCGAGGGTACGTATCCATTGGAAACAGATACTATATGAACTTCACCTATGTGAATTCTGAGATGGTGCCGTCTCAAAGTGAGAGTTGGAGTTTCTCTCATAAAAATTCATGAAACAGGATAGCACATGGCCATAAATAAGTGCTAAGCGAGTTATGCAGAGGAAGAATCTTTAAGGAGTGTGTGTAAGGTAACACCGGTCTATTCATATGGATTCATGGTTTAAAAGAATTGCTACCTAATGTTCCGATTAAACCTTGTGTTTTCCTTACTAAGGTTAAGTTTAAAACCGAAAGATACTTAACTGTATTAATACTTCTTATGTCTCATTTCTGGAATTATTATTTTGTCATTATTAGAACAAGTGGGGGATTGTTGGAAATAATGAAGATTTATTTCCATTAAAGTTGTTCCAAATTGAAAAAGTGGGTGATATAGTTAATTGACAATAAATACTTAGTCCCACATTGGAAGTGGAGTAAAATTAAATAGCATTTATAAGGCCCTTGGAACAATGTACTTTCCAAAGGAGTCAAAGAGGATAAAGTGCCACATAGTCATATGTGGTGGTGCCAAGACTTATGTCACTTGTCTCATACAAAACACCCCTCGCCGGTGTCGCCACCGGCGACACCGGCTCCGGCTCCGGCTCCGGAACCGGATCCGAGGGCGTGGGCGTAGAGGCGCTAGTGGCGGCTTGTAGACGGCACTTGAGCACTTAGGCACGATGCATCGGAGCAATCAGGCTATTCGCGGCGCCGGTGGCCCTCCAGCCGCCTCCGGCGGGCGGACCGGCCTTCGGCCGGTATACTGCGAATTTGTTTTAATTGTCGCTCCAAATTTTATTTGTTGCCTAGAGTTTGATTTTTGAATTTGAATTCGAAATATATGACACTTCATGAAGTGGTGCATGACATTTTATTTGAACCATTGTAAATGCTCATTAGAGAGTGTTGTTTATGAAGAGTTGCAAACTTCCGAAACGACACATGCATGGCTATAAATATATGCTTGATACTTCGAAATATAATACTCCAAAATCTGATATCCTCTTCTATATAATTCCAAACGTTTTCCTTGCATTCGAAACTTCATCAGTCTTGTGCAGTTTCGAGAAAAAGGCTGACTTATCCTGGGTATTCAGGCCGTTCCAACTCTAAAACAATTTGAGAGTGTGCTTGAAATACTTTTAAGGAAAGTGATTTCGTTCACGATTCAGTCGGGATCCATTCGACATTGAAGCATTATCTAACAAGAGTTAGCAAGGGCGTGATACTGACGCACAGGAACTTCATCGCGGCATCGTTGATGATTAACATGGACGACGATTTGGCAGGGGAGTTAAACGGCGTGTTTCTCTGCGTTTTGCCTATGTTTCATGTGTTTGGATTGGCGGTTGTAACGTACGCGCAGCTGAGACGAGGGAGTGCGGTTGTTTCGATGGGGAGGTTTGAGTTGGAGAGTTTTTTGAGAGCTATTGAGAAGTACAGAGTGACGGATTTGTGGGTTGTGCCGCCGATGGTGCTTGCTTTGGCGAAACAGAGTGTGGTCAGTAAATATGACGTTTCGTCGTTGAAGTGTATTGGGAGTGGTGCTGCTCCTCTTGGGAAAGAATTGATGGAGGAATGTGCTAGACGTTTGCCTCATGTTACTGTTTATCAGGTAATTTAAATTTATCATCTTTGTTTTTGCATGCTCAACAAAGTCTCATCATGTTATTTAAATTTTTGTTGTCACTTCAATTTTCTTTCGTTCATTAATTTAACTTAAAAATATATATAACTAAGATTATACGAAAAGAATCGATAATAAGATGCACCTTTACTCCTTTTTGAATAACATAATCAAGCTTCACAACATTACTATGCATAGACATTTGCATTCTCGGTAAAAACTACATTCAAGAAATATATTTTAAAGTTTTCTAGTGAGGTTGAGATTTTGTTTAGTAAAAAAATAGTTGATAGATGAATTTCATGATAACTAATAACTAATAATAAATAATAGGTGATGATTAATAGTTAATAATCAAGTTAATTTAATTGATAAATTAACGATTATATTAACAAATAAATATAAAATGAAATAAAAAATATATTTAATTAAGAAATTAATGATTTTATTATCTTATTTTATTATATTTTTAAATTAAGTTTTATTTGATAAAAATAAATAAATATATAAAAAACATTTTTAGTATATATGTAAAATTAAAAACAATGTCAAAAGGGTGGGATCAACTTATTCTAATAGTAAACTTTTTTAACTTACTTCAAATTATAATTTTTGAATTGAATCGAATTTAACGATTAGATTAGTCTTTTACTTAATTAACCATTACAAATCATAAATTAAAAAAACTTATTCTTATAATAAGTTGATCCCCATCCATGTCAAAATATATTAAATATAAGTTTTATAATAAAATTTAACAAGATAAATAAAATAATAGCATAGTATAATAGCAAGATAAATTCTATATTAAAGGGTAAAAGTAAATTTTTGTTAAAATAATAAAGTATAAATTGAAGAAAAGTAAAAAGCTATAAACTCTCTAACTTGGTTTTGAAAAAAGTCATAAATTAATAAGAAAAACCTATTATACAAGGTAAATACTAAACAATAATTATTAAACAAGTCTATTAACAAAAATTATTTTATTTTATAATATTGAATTAATGTTAATAAATAAACTAATGTAATATATATATATATATATATATATATATATATATATATATATATATATATATATATATATATATATATATATATATATATATATATATATATATATATATATATATATATATATATATATATATATATATATATATATATATATATATATATATATATATATATATATATATATATATATATATATATATATATATATATATATATATATATATTCAATCATTTATTACTATTTCAATCATTTATGTATAGAATGTGTGTATAGAAAACTAGTCGTACATTTAAACATTTGGTTCAGTTTATTGAAATTTTCCATGCAAAAAGTCATCTATTTTTTATATATAAATATAATTTCTATTTTTTTAAAAGCTCGTAATTATTTAAATTTTTATGTCATTGCTATTTTTTGTTTTTAAACTATGTCATTGCTATTTGATTAGTATATCGAATTTCTCTATATGTTAATTTCGAGTTTGCTGCATTGCATTGCACCTATTTGAGACACCATAGGTTAGGAGCTAGGCTAAAAATGATTATGTATTATATTAAATTTTCGTTGTGTTATTAGGGCTATGGTATGACAGAAACTTGTGCCATCGTTTCTAAAGAGAATCCAAGAGTAGGCATTCGCCATCCTGGCTCAGCTGGAATGTTGGCTTCAGGAGTCGAAGCTCAAATAGTGAGTGTGGACACACAGAAGCCACTCCCTCCAAAACAATTGGGAGAATTATGGGTACGAGGTCCCAACATGATGCAAGGTAAATTCTCACGCCATGCAACATTTATACATTTGCATACAAAGTCTGCTTCCAATATAATATATAACCATTCTATTTTTGCCATGTAGTTTCTTGTTATGCTTGAAGGAATTAAGTATGAAAGGAATTTGCATTGTTGAATTGAATATGCTACAAAGACTACTTATTTTTGAGAATTTTTAAAATAAGCTTATGAAAATGTCAAAAAATGTCACTAATTATCTCAAAAAATCGAATTCTTTTTACTTCATATAAAAATTGGAATTTATTTGTATTATGTAAATCTTTTCTAGTATACAAATATTTCAGGTTATTATAACAATCCAGAAGCCACAAGATTGACTTTAGATAAAGAGGGGTGGATACATACAGGAGATCTTGGATATTTTGATGAGAATGAACAACTTTATATTGTTGACCGGATCAAAGAATTGATCAAATACAAAGGTTTCCAGGTATGTAATAAAAACAGATATTATTCTTAATGTGTCAATCGTAGTAATTTTACTCATTAATGATGTTTCTCCTCCTCTCTTTAGGTGATTATTTCTTTCTAACCTTTATCTATGTGTGACAATGATTATTTATGATCACAAGTTTCACTCTATGCGATGTTAACTAGGTTGCGCCAGCAGAACTTGAAGGTCTTTTAGTTTCTCACCCTGAAATACTAGATGCTGTTGTCGTCCCGTAAGTAACACATGCATGGTAGTTTAACTATTATTGATATTACATATTTGAATCACTTATTTTCTATAGATTTCCTAATGATGAGGCTGGTGAGGTTCCAATTGCTTATGTTGTTCGTTCACCCAATAGTTCACTAACCGGGGAAGAAATTCAGAAGTTTATTGCTAACCAGGTTATACTCATTTGGATAATCATATATATGTTGTGTGCATTTGTCAATAGTTACTCATTTTTATACTCGTTTACAGGTTGCACCGTTCAAAAGATTGCGAAGGGTGACATTCATCAGCAGTGTCCCTAAGACAGCTTCAGGAAAAATTCTGAGAAGAGAACTTATTGCAAAAACACGGTCCAAAATATAAGATATTGCAATTTTTTTGGATCAATATTTTGCATAGAATGCAACTACAATAAATTCATAGAATACAAAATATTGTATTTTTACTAAATCTAATATATAACTATTAAAATCTTATCCCACTAATTTACATCTTTATCCTTCTAATTAAACCCTAAATTACACTTAGCAAAGAGAGTATTAACGAATAAGTACATTGTTGTTAGTGTAATATTAGAGATTTGACAATTACTGCTGCTGATGTGTTATTATTTAGAATTTTTCACTCTAAAAATCATAAATTTAAAAAAAAAGTAGCTGTAAAGACATGGTTTATGTATCTTCCATAATAAGCCTCCTTTGATAGCATTGGAATTCTAAATATATTGGAAATCAAATTTATTTCATTAATAACACTGCAATCAAAATACCCCATCAATCTTAAATACTCTCCCCCTCTCCCTTCTCTCTCATAGTTTTCTCTCCCTTGAACCCTAAATCACGGTGAACTTGATAAAATCACCATGAACTTGATAAAGCAGATCTTTAAACTCGATCGTCGTCGTTAAACTCGACTATCACATGTCTTTTTTTTAACATTGTTGCAGATGGGAAAAATCACATGTCTATATGCAGGGCAAGAGCTAGCGATACTGCTTTAACAATGCGGCTGCAAAATTTTAATCAAATTCATCCTTTGTTTAATTTAAGATCTTTTTATTTTTGTGTAGTATGATATTGCATTTATGTTTGTTACCATGGGAGCAGGAGGATGTCTGAAGAAGAAATTTAATAGTTTGAGGGCACTGTAAGTCTGAGTTGCTTGTTACATTTAATTTTTTACTATCCTCTCAAACTTTTCCTGGCTTGCCCAAACTGACTTAATTAATAACTTATAAGCAATTTCTATAACAAAAATCCAAATAAAGTGAAACTTTTTAATATAAGACCATCTCTAACGGTGGTTCTTCAAATTGGTTTGCCAACTTGGCATTGAAATTGTCAACAAAAAATTGTTCCAAGTGGTGAACGTTCCTTGCATAAGCAATGGTTCTTCATTTTTTTTATTATTAAAATAATTATTTAACTTGTTGGTTTTATTTTTTTTTTAAAATTTTTTTTATTTATTATAAATATAAGTTTGTTGCAAAAATTTATAACAATCCTATTTTCTCTCACTTTTATTTACTCTTTAATTTTAAATTTCTCTCTCACAATTTCATTATTTTATTCATAAATTATTATTTTCAATTTTATGTTTAATTTTAATTTTATGTTTAGTTTATATTTATAGTAATTAAAATTTAAATATTTAAATTATAATTTTAAATAAAATAAATTTAATATAAATAATATATTTAAGTAAAGTAGTGGAACCCAATATGAGTTCTTTGAAGTTGCACCATTGAAGTGAAAATTAAATAAGTTATTTTAGAAGGGTGGATCCCACAAAAAACCTAAAAATGAGTTGCAACATTGGAGGTGCTCTAAGCTGTAAATTATTTTCATAAGCTATCATGAAGAGTGTATTAAATTGAAAAGTAACACTTTTACGTTATCTTAACACAAATAAGGTTTGACATGATTGTTGAGTTTTTGTTTACACAGAGAAGATGGAGCTGTCAATTCTCATGGCTACTTGCTATTGGTACAAATATAACTGAAGACAAATATTAGGTACATAGATTTTTTTATATTGGCTGAATCATTCTCAAGATACTTTTATGTTCATTTTGTGAGATTTGAAAATGAACGACCATTATTATTATTGAGACTATATTATTTTACTGCTGGTTCCTTCGCACACTTGACCACTAGCATAGATGTGATATCAGGTTTAGTAAAAATGTCGAAAATATTCTATACTTGAAATTGTAATTTTTTATGGGTAATGTTAACTTGTGCTCTTGGGGCACATGTTAAAAGCTAAATTAAAAAATATCATTTTGAAAATTATGTATAAACTTAAATTAAACTATATAATTAATTTTTAAATTGTTTTTTCCAATACAAATTTATTAAAAGTGGTTTCCTTAACGTGTGCATCAAGGAAACCACTTTTAGCTCTTAACGTGTGTCCAAAGGGCACAAGTTAACATTATCCATTTTTTATTTGTGTTATCTATTTAAATATTTTGTTTTAATTTTGTTAATAGTTATAATTTACTAAGAAATTAAAAATATATTAATTAATTCTCTTGGTATATGAAATGATATACAAAAAGGTTTACTTAAAAATAAATAAATTTTTAAGGAGTTTGAAATTTTAATTATTACATCTAATTGAAAGATAATAAAAAATTAGAAAGATATCACATGTAATCAATTTTCATAACTATTGTATCTAATATTTGAATGTTTCCAATTATTGTGTTAACTAATTAAAGTCTTACTATTTAATATTATATTAACTTAATCTTAAATACTTAATGACAATTATGATCTAAATAATGGAATTAACTTAGCTTAAATTTGTGTTTAATGATAAAAATGTTTACAATATCATTATTATTAAATTTGTGTTTAACGGTAAATAATGGAATTAACTTAGGTTTAAATTTGTGTTTAATAGTAAATTTTAGAATTTATTTCTTAAATTGAAAAATATAGCTTACATTTAATTATAAAGAATATTACCCTGTTTAAAATATCTTATTATTAATTTAACAAGACATAATCTGAAACATATAGATGGATAGATTTTTATTTATAACATATGTGATAAATTTTGATTAATTGATTATAAACGATTCAATTATAAATTTTTTCGTTATAAATCTAAAAATTAAACCTATAGAGTTTTTAAAATAAAAAAAATTTAATATTTAATCTTATAATTATAAAGGTATATTGATTTCCTTTTAAAAATATATATAATTGATAATTTAATATCATAATACAATTATAAATTGCGTTTTAATAAACACTTTCTTAACTTATAATATAATTTTTTAATAACATAAATGTTTATAATAATACAATTGTAAACTACTATATATGGTGTCTTTTTAAAAAAAATTGTATTAATATATATTTAATAATTTAACATTTTAATACAATTGTAATTACTAATTTGTAAAATTTTTAATCCCATATTTAAAACTTAAATAAAATTTAAATCTTCATTTGTTTTATTTGAAAAAATTAAATGAAATTAAGGTGAATGGTTGAATTTGATTATGATTTTAAAGAGTAATCAAATCTATTTATAATCATTTTTTCTACATAATCATGTTTTTTTTTAATATGATTTATATCTTGATTTTAATCTAATATCTAAGTATTAAAGTGATTCTCAATGATACTAAATGTCTAAACTTTTCTGTTTTCAGGGTTAAATGTGACTACTTACATATTTTTTTCACTCTCATTCATTTGCCAATTAATATTGGTAACGTGAGTTCTAATGGTTTAGTATCATTGCCTTTACATTTTTTATGGGAACCATTCCTCCTCTCTTGGCTCAATGCATATAAAGAGAACTCAAGAGGCAACATCTATTAGTAATAATTCATATTTTATTATATTATTTTCTTAAGCCCATAAGTTTGTTAGAGGGCATTTCAGTATTTTATCTTATTCTAGTAACCCTAGTTTTAGCCTATAAATAGGGTAACAATCATTGTAACTCTTAATCATGTTTTGTAGCCGTCATTCTCTTTAATAGAATATTTCCCTATTTCATCATTTATTCTATCTTTGCACCAACAAATTGGTATCTAGAGCTCCGGTTCAGATTCATTGGGAAACACGAGAAACACGAGTGAACGTGAGGTCTTGTGTGTTTGATTTTGATTCTTAGATTCGTGTTGAATCTTGAACAAAATCTGATCAGAATTTTATTCTGTGGGTTGGGAAACACTGTGTGAGAAATCTGAGTGTATTGTGCAAAGTAGAAGATGAACGGAAACGGCAACATGAACACCAAACTTCCAGTATTTGATGGTAAAAACTGGAATCGTTGGATGATCCAAATGCGTGTACTATTTGGTGCTCAAGATGTTCTAGATCTTGTCACTGATGGTTATGTTCCAGTAGCAGCAGATGCAACCGATGAACAGAAAAACACGCAGAAGGAAGTAAGGAAGAAGGATCAGAAAGCATTGTTCTTCATTCATCAATGTGTGGATGTAAACGTGTTTGAGAAGATTGCAGACTCTACAACAGCAAAGGCTGCATGGGACACTCTGGTGAGATGTTATGGTGGTGACGCATCAGTGAAGAAGGTGAAGCTTCAGTCCTTGAGAAAGCAATATGAGAATCTCAACATGAAGAATAATGAGAAAGTTTCTGAATACATCTCCAGAGTGATTCTGATCACTAATGAGATGAAGGCGTGTGGAGAAACTCTTTCTGAAGAAACAATCATGGAGAAGGTATTGAGATTCCTTACTCCTCAATTTGATTACATTGTGGTAGCAATAGAACATTCCAAAGATCTGAGCACCATGAGATTGAAGAGCTGCAGAGCAGTCTAGAAGCGCAAGAGTTGCGTTTGACTGAGAGAACTTCTGAAAGGGAAGTAGAGCAGCAGGCTCTGAAAGCAACTTCTGATAGGAGGTATCAGAAGCAGTCAGAAGCCAAGAGAAGATCTGATGGTGGTCAGAAGTCAGAAAGCTCAACCTCTGATAGACAAAAGAATGCTCAGAAGGGAAAAGAGAAGTATGACAAGAAGAAGATCCAATGTTACTGTTGTAAGAAGTTTGGTCACTTTGCTAGAGATTGTTGGTCAAACAAGGAGAAGAAATCAGAAGAAGCAAATATAGCCAGAAGTTCTGATGACGAATCTGTGCTATTGATGGCCTCTGAATCTGATGATCTGACAGACTGGTGGTATATGGACACTGGCTGTTCAAATCATCTTATTGGAAACAAGAAATGGCTGGTTGACTTTGACTCTGAAAAGAGAACAAAGATCAGATGTGCTGATGACAAATATCTTAATGCAAAAGGTATGGGAAATGTCAGAGTGACTCTGAACAATGGAAAAATAGCATTGATTCAGAATGTGTGGTATGTACCTGG